TTATCTACCTACCGGCCTATCTACTCTCTCTACTTATCTACCTACCTACCTACCTACCTACCTACCTACCGTATTTCTCTTTCTTTCTCTCCCTCTCTATCCCTCTATCTACCTACCTACTTTTTTTTTAAATTTGCCTCTTCAAAACCTTGGTACGTCTTCTACTCCAGTGCATCTTATACTCCGAAAAATATGGTTTGTAGTAATGTTGTTATATTTGGTTCTTCTCCATAACCTGGTTCTTTTTCAGGTTTATTTTTAAGCCAAATAGTTCTCCTGCTTTGTGCAAATCTTGTATGTGTCTTTGTAGCTCTTCTGGATGTTATGAGAAGAGAACAACTTCATCTGCAAATCTTAAGTGATTTAAATAGGCACCATTGATTTTTATCCATATTTTGCCCAGTCTTGTTTGCGAAATACTTCTTCAAGGCAGGCTTCATTCTATGTTGATTTCCACTATTATTTTAAAACATATTTTCTTTGAAATAATTAATTATCTATATTCTCTTTACATCGATTCTGCCACTAAAAAAAAAAATCCATACTGCAAAGAATTTAAGATATTTTGCTATCCTAGATTTGATTTTTAAATATCTATCTATAACAACAGCTTAAAAATGAAATATGAATTGGAAATAAATAAAAATAAATAAACACAAATGACTATAAATTTTAAATAAGCAAATTAAAGATGAAAAATTTAGTAGTTCTGAGTTAAAAAAGCAAAATTAAGAGCTTGCAAAGGAAAAAGGAAGACAAAAAGCTGAAGAAGCAGACTTAATAATTGAATAATATAAAACAGTACCATTTTTATTTTTTTTATTTTTTCATAGTTCTACTGGGAAACTCTTAGGGAAATTTCTCTAAACATGTAGAAAAAAAGTCAAACTTCTGTTTTGCATGACGTATAGATGCTATCTCATTCCGGGATACTAGCATCATATATTCTAATGTTCTTGATTTAAAGAAAATCAATTGTGTAGATATTCATCATCCGTTAAATGAGCCAGCCATTTTTCTATTAAGTTGATCCTTATGAATTCTTCATTTTAAACACAGTCAGCTCCATACATTATATTTCATCATTTATCATCATCAATTCTATATTCAAAAGCCAGCTGTTGCACATTATGGCCAACAGCTTCCACTAAAAGGTCAGACTTAAGTAAGTATACTAAATTATGTGAAGCTATTGCTTATTGACTTTCATTTGAAACATAGGACAGATTATGTGTTATGCATTGTTATAACAAATAATGTTGGACATCTGCTTCAACAGTTTCCCAACCACGGCTTAGAATCTGCTAGTTAATTATGCTGGACTATTTCTTTTCAGGTTTCTTATTTTTCTGGTAAATCTGGCAGCAATTTTGCAAATGCATTGCTTATTGAAAAATTAAATGGCTAGAGTGAAGCAAAAGAATGAAAATCAGTTCCATCAAGAGAGAAAGAAAGGGAAAAATGTTTTATATAGAGTGAATAAAGAAGAGCATAACATAGCAGAAGGAAGCTCATAAAATGGAGTGCTAAAATGGAAAGAAATAGAAATCAAATGATTTTAAAGATTAATATAGATGTAAAGTTAAATAGGATAGATATGAAAGGAACAGAAATAATTTGCACATATGAAGCAAATCTTAGTGTGTAAAATTCAAACCTAGCCATGCGTCTTTCAGATATAAAACATGTTATATACAATCCACTAGAAGTTATGATAATAATTCAGTTAAAAACAAGATATTATACCATAATTATCAATTAAATTATTTAAAAGTTTTAAATAAACATTATAATATGCAGTTGAATACAACATTATGCTTACTATAGCATACATCTTATTTATTCAATGGGATTTATTTCTGAATAAATATATATTTTTGAAGAAATATACAAAATGAAGGTCAGGTGGTTAAGCCAGATGATTAAGGTAGCAAGTTTGAAACTGGAAGATGATGAGTTCTATTCCAACCTTAGATATAAAGGTAGTTGGGTGACCATGGGCATTCATTCTTCCTCACTTCTAGGAAGGAGCAAATGGTAAACCACTTTCGAAATTTTGCAAAGATAACTTCAGATTTGTCCAGGCAGTTGCCAGGAGTCAACACTGATTCAAAGACACAAAAACAACTAAATATTATTATATACTGTAAGTCTAATGAGGAAAATGGAATACTTTCAACAATCTTTTTATCTTTTCAACTAGGGTAATGCATTGATGTTTTTAGAATTCTGAATACATGCATTTTTATTATTAGACAAAGAGTGGATATTACTTGACACTCACAATATACTCATAAATAAATCATAATAAACATGAGTCAACACTTTACATTATCTGAAAGACATGCAAATGTTGCACTTAATTAATGTTGCACTTAATATTAACATAAAATAATATGAAATAAATTAAGACATTATTAAAATACATATATTCCTAAACCATTTAAATACTTCATGGATGATTTACAGTTACAACACCAAATATAAAATGAGTTGCCATATAGATCCTTCATATTATTATAGACATTCTAGAAATGTAATATGTTACACTGAATGAAAAACCTTATTTTTTTTTAAACAAAAAAAAAACTTATTTAGATTAAAAACCAACTTGTATTTGTCTTTATCCCAGAAACGTTTTCAGACATTCCTTCTCCCTTTATCATTAAACTAGTAAAATAGTCTCAGTGGAACTAGCAGAGGCACATATTTCATATCCTAGGCACAAAAGCAATTCTCTGGGTGGATTAAGTTTAATATTACTAGCACACAGAACATTTTACATCAGCCTTATTAAATTCAACTCTCACCTTACTATAGAGAAATATTTTTTAAAAAGTAGAAAATTGGAAAATGGACAAATAAGAAAAGGCAAGGAAATGTGCCAGATTTTGTCAGTGAGCCTCTCAGAACAAGATATCCTTATGAACAATAACAGCGTACATAAAAGTTGCCATGTAGAGAATTCTTCCTAGTACCACAATCACAGACAATATCTGAACATCAAAGAGAGAGGTCCCTATAGTTGATTTTCCATTCCATTTAAAGGTATCACTCTCATTCTGGAGAAGTATGTAAGTACATACAAAGAAAGTGATATCAAGAAAAGTAGTCCCTAGGAAAAGTTTGATTTTTTTAGGGGGAAAAAGTAGAGCATGAGGGAAGGAAAGGAGGAGAAGCATAGAAAGACCAGAAAAATAATGAAAAGGAATCATA